CTGCTGAACATCATTTTAAAGCAACCACACAGTCCTAACCTCCACTCTACATTTTTAGCGCTTGACAATTTTTTTAAACAGAATGTGAATGCAATTATAGCTGGCATGTAGCACATTCCAATGCACAGATTTGGTTGCTGTGATAAGATTAAAAGTAAATATCTTAGAATTATACCTTGTACACTATTAGATCATGCTCTCCATCCTTTAAAGTTGTTCCATCATATCTCATCAGCTTCACAAATGCTAAAGCAAATATCTTCTCAGACTTATCTTTGGCTGTTAAAAATATTGTAGTTTAAGTCATTTATAATTGGCACAGACACCTTCAAAATCACAAGGAAAGGTAACTCAGAAATGGTCAGAGAATGATAAGGGGTTCACATAGCTATAAAAAGGGCTAGGATATTTTAAAGAGATTCCTAAAAACATGAAACATAAGGTGTAAGAATCTCTATGAAAGCACAACACTCCACACCCTTAGCAGAAATGAATACATAAGCAGCTTAATAACTGTGTCCAATCCTGAATTACTGCAACATCTTATAAGTGGTCTAACTAAACTAATTTGTACTTCAGTTATAAATACGGCAGTAATATTCTGCACATTGTTTTCATTAGCACAATTCTTATTCCATTATAATAAGTGCTGCTTTATTAATTACTAATTTTTAAATCAAAATAGACTGCTTTTATTATCCAGTCATTATAAAGTAAGTATCTGGTATTACAGCAAATTCTAAAATGCATCCAGTGCAAGTTATCTGATTAAAGTTTGGTTCATGTGCTGATACAACCACAAAATGTTGGTTCAGGTTTTGAAAATTATACATGCTGGGCAAGACAACTGTTAAAGAGCTATTGTAAATAATCATTATCTAGGCCAAAATAAGTCCCTCTTGTATCACCACACAGCAACTGCCAATAAATGGAAAGTGCCTGGCCACCAGACCTGATCCCTAGGTCTCAGAGCATCTCAACTGCCAATGATTAAAGGAGGAATTGCAGGCAGTCATATACCTTTGCATATCTGAACTATAATTTGAAAGCAAAGAGCAAATTAGTTCTGAGCCAGGTCTCCAAACTATTAGGTCCATACCTAACAGCATGCAGTGCCTCCAAGACAGGTCATGTTTCCTTTGCCTCCCTTTTCCTCATGTTCCAGATGAGCACTGCTACCTTTTATTGACCTACTTCTCTGAAGTACCCAGCTACAGCCTTGTATCTTACTATAAAACCAGAAGCTAATTTACTAGGTCTCATATTTGAATGGGGAATATGCCTAAGTAACGCATAAGAAGAGGATGTTGAACAATAAGAGGGGAGGGAGAGGAAGTAAAGGAGAAAACGAGGCAAATAACAACAAACAGAAAAGAAAACACACCTTAGCCCCATGAGAAATGCAGTGCCTTTGATTAATTATAGGCCAGAAGCACTGTCTCTCTTACAGCACACTAAAGGCATCAGGAGCTGACAAGAGCAACTGGGGGAAAGGACAAAATTACTCACAGTCCTGTGATGATCTGTGGCGGAACGTAAACCTTAAATGACTCCTGTTTACATCTTCAATAGGAATGGCGACCTTTGAAAATTAAAAACAAAAGAAATGAGTAAGAATCATAACTTCAAATAGCTTTTAAAAATACCTAACTTTCACAGTCTGCATTTTTTGAAGAATTAAATGGTAGGTTTCGGGGAATTTAATAATTTGCTTGACTCTTTCGAAAAAAGATGATTAAGGGCCAAAATCACTCTTCCAAGGAAGGTGCATCTTAGCTGCCCTGGCAGAGATAAGTCATTCCCTCACCCAGTTTATCCCATGATTTCACTGGATCAGAAGGCAAGCTACACAAGGGACCCATAAACCAGGATTAATCCCCGTTAATCCCTCAAGTAATGTTTGTGGCACCATGCTTCAAGAATGGAGCCCTTACAAGTCTTCAGGACTAGTTATCAATCCCTTGGCAGGAGCACATCTTCACAACCTCTACAACAGATATCTGGAATTTGTCCCCCTCTAATATTTTCAGCCTTTCACCTCAGTTGATTCTTAACATTGTCAATACATAATACACTGTAACAGTCTCTCTCTGATCCAGGAGCTTGCCATCACTGCTGCCAACAATTTTCACTTTGCCAATCTGGTCTAATTCCCAGTGTCACCATATGGATTTGACCTTGCCCCTCACCCTCAACCTCCCCACTTCATCTTCATTTTTTTCTCTCCGTATCTTTTGTACCTGTTGCCTTTAATCTTTTTTGTTTTTAAATGTTATAAATATTCTCAATCACCCAAGATCAAGTTATGTCATTTTAACTATTAATTAGGCAAAGTTTATTAAGTCGCATCAAGATATATTATTCAAGCAATCACGTAATAAAATATTCACACACACACACACACATCCTGTATCTTTCCTTTATAGTCCTAATCTTTTATTAATCATATTTTAATTCTAACTATGTTGTTGATCTACTAAGTTGCAATTCTTCACATATGGGTTTTGGTAGGGTTACCATACATCCAGGTTTTCCCAGACAAGTCCTCTTTTTGTTCCCCTTTCCTCGTGTCTGGGTGGGTTTTTAAAATAAGAGCAAATGGCTGGGGTTTTGCTCTGTCTCTGCTTTCCCAGGGTTGCTGCTTGGAGCTGGGAGCAGTAGGCAAGGTGATTGGCTGTCGGGGGTCACATGCTCCCTGCATGGGCCCCAGCAAGTGCTGTGTGGCCAACAGGGCTGAGGGGGGAAAGGAGCTGCAGGTCAGGAGTGGGGGGCAACGGCAACACTGGACAGGCAGGGGCTTAGGACTCTGGGCCAGAGGCAGGGCACAGGCATATCACTGCCCCCCCTCCCCCGCAACAATCATATGCCTCTCCCCCCTTCCGCTCACAGGTGTCCTCATTTCCAGCATCAAAAAAAAATGGTAACCCTAGTTTCGCCTAGTTCCTATTAAAGGCAACTTCCAGCTGCAGCTCTGATAAGGACATTTTATTTTGAAAGAAGTACAAGTTAAAAATTCCTAGCTACATGCTTCCTTTAAATTATTATTTCCAGTTTTAATAGCCAACATCATATTTCAGAAAGCCATCTGCAGCTTCATTTTTTGTTTTAATTCTTTGGCGTCTATCTAAGGATGCACTGTCATGCAAATTCAACACCATTAACAAAATGTAACAGTAAAGTCAGCATCTCAGAAGACTAAAGAGTCAGTCACTATGGTAATACATTTCTACCATGATCTCTTGCCAGCATTGTTTATTTTTCATGAAAAAAAAGAAAGCTATTTTAAACAGATGTTGGAATACCCCTTGTCAAAGTCTTTTTGACCAAAAGGATGGGAGAATAATTATTTTAAAGTCAATGCCAATGTTGTTCCTTAGCAACCTGGAAAGGCTTCCTCAGCTTAGCTACTCTTTTTATCTTTCCTACAAATGATCATATCATTAGTCTCCTCAGTTTTACTTTTAAAGATTTTCCACTAAAACCTATACTCATTTTATTCTGAATTAATCCAATTTGATGAAAATCATTTTGATATTATCTTTACCTTTACAGTTTCAAACCAACGAGGCTGTTTCACTTGGTAATAGATCACTGACTTGTACTCAGAGATGGCTTCATCACCAGCACCAGGGAAGATCACATTCTTGGGGGAGAACACACAGAAAAAAAAAACACACAGAAAAGTTTACATACACACTCTTGAATTACACTTGGCATTTTAATTACACAGAGAAAGGCTGGACCCAATAAACAGATTCAGACATCAGAGGTTCAGACATTATCAGCTAACTTCAAATCAAACTTCATGCACTGACACTACAAAATGTGTTTGCCACAAATTAAACTAAACTTTTTATTCATTGGTATAAAGGATTGGTATAAAGCATTCATGTGAAGCCACTTTGAAATAATGACTTGCAAGACAAAACTGCAGCTTTACCAAACACCTGAGAACACATGGGGAAAGCATAGGCACATACAGATTTAAAATATCAAACGATATTTTAAAATTAAAAATACCTCTAATCTTTTTCCATCTTCATCATAAACAGATACTGTAACTTCTACATTCTTTGCTGTTGTTTTACTGCCTTTATCAAAATCTCCTTGAACTAATGTTACATAGATGTCATTGCGAACATCACCTAATAGAAGGTAAAAGAAATCAACAATGTTAACGGTAATAGTCACAGTACATCCCTACAGTTCTTAAGCCAATGAAGCAGAAAATCATGAGAACATTAAAGGTGTATTTTTTTAGACTAACCCTGGAAAAATCAGCATCCTTAAATCTTAAGTGTTCAATATTGAACAGTATCACTGATTGTATTTTACAATGATCTCTTAACCTAAAAGTACAAGAACCTAAACCTAAAAGACAATATCCAGCAACAGTAGTTTTTTTTAAAAGGCCATATCCTCATGCTATAAAATCTTAGTACACTTATTTACTGTTTCCTTTTTTCCAGATAGACTCCATTTATATGGCCTAGAAAGGCAGAATTTTTATTCTGCTATAAAAAACAGATGATACTGTATAGATGACACTTAAAAAAAAAAAAAAGTTAAAATAGTTTGTGAATGCAGCTGCATATTTAAATTTGGAGATCTTTGACTTGATACCTTATACCTTTCAAATATAACCTTTTTTTAAAAAGTACCACAAAACCATGGGAAACTTGCATGCCTCCAAATATGTAATTCAGACTAATTGTACATATTTTCCTTGTCCCCATGTATCCTCATGATATGGACATAGCCAGCTGAGGCAGCTACATAAAGCATACAGGCAAAACATGCAGGCAGAACGCCAAGTCAACACTCCCCAGCAAAAGGCCCTGAACTCAAGATTTCACTTTTAAGACGGCTGGCCTGAAGAGGATACTGAGTAAGCTAAATCTTGCCCTCAGTCCTTTGCTTGAAGAATACAGTAAAATCTCTGTTATCCAGCATCCCCAAGGTAAGGGGATTGCCAGTTACATAAAAACTCCAGTTATCTGAAATAACCTGGCACAATTTTCAGGTAATGCAGAGCCGGGTGCAGGGGTAGGGAGAAGAGGGAGGGCTGGAGGAACAGTACACACAGAGCGGCAGCAGTGCTCAGTGGCGGCAGCGGTCACTTTCCCCTGCAGAGCTGGGGCAGGAGGGGTGGCGGCATCCGCATGCGGAGCAGTGGCAGCAGAGGGTGGTGGTTAATGAAATATTCCGTTTGGTTAAGCACTGGATAACAGAATTTTACTGTAGTTTGAAGAGAGTCATTATGGGTCTTGGGAATGTCTTTTTTCCCCTTTGTACGTAAATATTAATACTCTGCCAAGGCTTATCCAGGAGGAGGGCCAGAAGGGGGGGAGGGGAGGGCACTTTTTAAAACAATAATTTCTTGATAGAACACAATTTCTCAATTTAATGCCACAGGTTCTCTCTTAAAAAAAAATTCTGTCATTTGTGTGATAATTGTACTTTATTATTGAGGCACATACCATCCTTACTTGATTATAAAATGACTCTGATTATAAGATGACCCTCCAATAATTAGATGTTATATATGGAAAATTAATAAATTTGATACAATTTTCCAGGTAAATATCTAATTAGTGAATTTGTCAACTTCCCACTTCCACAGCAGGAAAAATAGATCTGGTAGCCCTTTTACTCTTTGTCACCTATCAAATTCTTCCCCCTGCAGCCTCTTCCCCTCTCCTTACTGTCAGACCCTGCTCTCCCTGAACACATGGAATTGAGGAGCAAATTTGAAAAAACTGACTCTGAAATAAATATAGCAATTTGCATATAGTATCCATAGACTTAGTTCACCCAGAAATGATACGTACTACCTTTTTTAAAACTGCTGCAAGTTTTAGCATACCTAATCCACAAACAAATTTCATGTCTCAGGTCAAATTAGCCAAATCGGTTCCAAATTCTATCAACTGAGCAGTGCTCTCCATCTATCATCTGCCCTACCATCGGCAAGTATACTCCCCCCCAGACCCTTCAGCCTGGGGCTTCAGATATATCTGTATCTACAGATATAAAAGGGCTTAGTCCATCTATCTGTCTGTCTCATTTCTACAGACTCAAAAGAAGCCCATGACGTGCCTGAGCCTCGAGAACCAAGCTACACGAAGAAGGCGATTGGACTAGAGACGACATCAAGGGAGCCGTGCAAATGAGTCCCAAGAGGAGGCTACTGTGAGAAGACAATTAAATACATAATGCCATAAAGAATGCCATGCAAATGAATCACAAGAGGAGGCCTGTGTGAGAAGACAATTTAATACACAACCTATTAAAAAAAGTTGTGCAAATGAGTCCCAAGAAAATGCCATTGTGAGAAAACAATTAGATGCACAACACCATCAAGAAAGCCGCCATCAAGAAAGTTGCCATTCATCTGTCATTCTTGGTGGGTAATTCGCTAGTATAAATATATATGCCTCAATAAAGTATGATTATATATAGGATTTATGTTCAACAGACAATTATATCTGGAGAATTTGAAAAAAGTTGGAAAAAAGAAACAATTTGAGGTACAGCATCCCCTATAGAAAGCATTTTTTTTTTTTTTTTACTTGAAAGCCCTAGTACATCTACCTATCTATCTAGCAAAAGGAGGGTGTGGGGACAACAATGACAGAACAAAAAACCCAAAACCTTCCCTGTGTCGATAACATCAAGTTTTGTATATAAAAATTTGTGATACGGCTTTCAATGAAAAAAAAAAAAATCTTTCTACAGTGGAAGCTGCACCTCAGATTATTTGTGTTTTCTAGCTTTTTTCAAATTCTCCAGATAGAGATCTGTTCAACAGGCAATTCAAAAAAGATAAAAAAATTAGTGCCCAAAATGGCCATCCTAATCTTGGGCAGACAACTCACATACTTGCACATGATAAAGGGTAATTATATGCTGAGCTGTCCATTACTACATAGAGTGTATGCTGCTGCTTCCAAAACTGTATTTTTACCTTGTATAAAATTTGAAGTAATCATCACAAGGCAGCCTTTTTTTTCTTGGAAGATTAATAACCCAGATTCTTGTAGATACTCTATGGGCACATCTACACAAGACGCTGCCTGTGCAGTAGCCAAAAAATACTGCACAGCAGCATGTCACAGCATGGACAGTGCTAATACATTAGTGTGCAGTATTATTAGGCTACTGCGAAGTAGCATCACCTAAACATTATTCACCTGCATTTTATTTAGTACTTGCTAATATAAGTACTAAATAAATGCACCTTAATTACTGCACAGTAGTGTCTCATGTAGACGCACCCTATACCTACTCTATCACACCAATGCAATTAGAAATATAATTTTTTAAGTAAACAGAAGGGATCCAAAATAAAAGTATTTAGTGTAAAGTTATGAATTATTTTTGAAAATATATGGTTCAGAGAATCAATTTTATTTCAAACGTGGTCACGTACCTGAAGATGCATATCTTTTTGTAGAATGTCAATTTGTCTATCAGTAACCCAACTCAATAACTGACAGATGCTTACCAGGCATAATGATCTCAGGAAACCCCATTTTCCGAGCCACAGCTGTTGACCTATCCACTAAGTGCGGAAATTCTTTTCTAATCTGATGAATGTCTCCTGGAAGAAGTTTCAAAGTCACCCATAACCCTGTAGCATAAAATGAAATTATTAGACAGGTTTTATTTCCAGGGTTTCTTTTCTTTTATTTCAAAATACTGTTTTGACAAATTCAAAAGGTAACAATACGTGCACAAACAGCTGTTCCAGGGCTGAAAAATATGAAACAAAAATTAAATGTTATAACCACCAAACCTGGAACAAAACACAAGGGATATAGCCAACTGGAACAAGTTTTATGGCACGTTACTAACTTCATACTTTGAAACAGATAGATTAATGAGAAAGAAGCTAGGGAAGCTAGAGACCCTCTGCAAGAGGCACGGAATATGATAGCGGTATATCGTGTGATATTTCTGGAGCCTGACTGCAGGGTTTTATTACACTATTCCAACGTAGGTGCAAGGGTAGGTGAACCCCAACTCCCATACAACATGCCATTAAAAATGGAATGTACAAGCACAATTCTACCCAGCATATAGTTACAGAATCAAGGTTCATCTCTTTCTCCCCAAAAACCCCCAATCCAATGTATGCCATGAACAGTTTGCTGGCTATTTTGCTTTACCAGATAGTAATGATAAAAAGTCTTTCCTTTTATTCAGAGCTCATTTAGGAAGAATACATTTTGATGAGCATGATGCCAGACAATAAGTACTTTAGAAGAGACAGGCTAGAAGGGGATCATGTCCATCAAGTTTAAAAAAAAAAAAAAAAAAAAGACTTTGTTCATTAAGTCCAAGACAAGGACAAATTTGTAAAACCTTATAGGATAAGCAAAGATCAACAGAAAGATGCTGATATCTTCAATCCTTAATTGGGCACTGGACTTAATGTGCGGGGGGGGGGGGGGGGGCAGTGAAGTCTGCAGCATAGAGCTAACACAGAGCCAATTAAATACATTTTGCAGAGAATGTGACAAAATGGGTGCCAAAGTATCCCGCCTTTCCTCAGTAAATCTGAGACCTGCATTCTGCTCACCAGACTTGAATACAAAAGGGATCTTGCAAGAAAGGATTATTAAGCCATCAATAGCAGTGGCCTGCAGCTCATGCCTGCCCTTTGAATTTTCATGAGTTCTTTCAAAATGAAAGACAATAAATGTTTTATAGGAAAATTTCAAGCATCAATACTTGGAATGGAAAAGCCAAGAAGAAAATATACAAACCATCCACAATAAGGTTAGTGAAGTAGATGTCACCAACACTTGATATTTACCTTTATTTTTTCCCCTCAGTCCATATTACTTGGTTTCACCTACGGAGCAACTTATGAAAACATAGCTTCTACTCTATGTGCCACTGAAGTGAGTTTGAATAACTATAGCAAGCCATTAAAACTCACTATTTTTCAAGACAGTACTAAAATGAACTGTACAGTATAAGACACAAAAGAAAAATTGAATCTCAGATGGGTTTGTAGCAACTTTGTAAATAATGACTTTTTAAATGGTGGTCATTGAAATGATGTTTCCAAGAGAATAATTACTAAAACAATTATAAAAGTAAAAGGAGAAAAAAAGACCTAAAATAAAAGTATACATATAAAACATATGGTTTATAATCCTCTTACATGATTAACTAAATATTCATTTTATTTTTAAACTTTGAATAAACAAATAATTCCAAGTTAAATAGTCTAATTACGATATCTGTGGTGCTTTGTTGCCAGAAGTGCCAACTACTTGCTTCTTTAAATTGTACTTGGATCAGAATGACTGGCTATACTACTACCTCTTACAGATGAAGAATTTGCAAGAATTTATAAAGGAAACAGAAATTTAATGATTTGTAATGATTTGTGATGAGGCATTAAATCATGCCTCATCACAAAAAGTGTCTACTATGATCTTTCAAAATAGCACAAGGCAAACAAAAATCATGCTTCAACAAGCAATCAAAATGAAGAATATTTTCATTAGGCCTATAGCTCAGATGCATTTGTATAAATAAAAACAAAGCCCCCATCTACACAACATTAAATTAATCCAAGACCAAAAATAAAAGAAAAACCAACTGAGTACATAACATTAGGGACTGGCATGAAGCTAAATAATTGAACTGCTACACATTTTATGTTAATAAAGTATGGTATACAAGTTTGGAAGTAAGCTTAAATTTCAGGTCGGCAAAAAGTATGCTGAAATATAACATTAACTTTTTTCCTAGATCTGCATATTTACTAGACCATCTTGGCTACACCATTAACAGTCATTCTATAGGCAGAGCAACCAACTGCCTTCATTTTGTAGCCCTCCTTACTGGTTCAGTTCTGAAGAGATTAATTCCCTTGCCTTCTTGACAGGAGGCCAACCACTGTGAATATAGCTGCTAGTAGGAAAAACAATGAGAAGAAAGGAAGGATAAGAGTTCTTCCAGGAGAGGTCTCTAGGAGAGGTCTCAAGGAGAGGCCAGAGTCCAAAGGCATGAAAGCCAGTTCTTGAGTCACTGTTTTGCATACACAAATATAGACTTGAGTTGGGCAGAATTAAGAGAAATATAGGGATGGCAAACATTGCATAAAAAGGATAGACAACCTGATCTGTAACAAATCCAAAAAAGGAGGGTGTTGCCAGAAAAGAAAAGAAAAAGCAGTGCAAGTATATTTTCTGGTACCAAACAATAGCAACAAACAAACAAATTAAAACTATGTATCCTCCAGTCCAAATTAAAATACTCAGTTGGCATAAAGCAAGCAAGAATTTATCTGGTATGCCAGTTTAAATAAAGAACAGTACCTACCCTGACCCTTGTGGTTAACTTCTTTAGCAGCAATCACTTTGTTTATAACAGTCTGAAGGAAATCATTCTCCCCTGCCACCCTGGGTGAAAAACGGGATGATATGTTCAGCTGCTTGTGTCGACTGGCGTCATCCAATGCTAGCCTGGAGGATGCACATGACGACCAACACCAGGAAACAAAGGGTCACAGAAAACCAGAAGTCACAGTAACAAGGGAACATAAAAGATCATATCATAGTTGTGACAAAGAGTATTTATTAGTCAACGCAAGACAAAGGACAGGAAAGGTAACAAGAAAGACACAGGAAGATCATTAATCAAGAAAATGCTGACCTACTAAAAGAGATGTAAAGCAAACCTACGTTACCCTTCCCCAACAGGAACATGCATGAATCAGCTCCCAATCCCACTTCTAATAGCATGTAAATAAAGGAAGGAAACCCAAGGGGCCCCTGTTAAATAGTGAAAACCTAATCAGGGTGATTTTACAAAGATGTAAAGTATTTTAGCACAGCAGAACCTTCAGGGCAGCTTCTGCATTTTATATATTACGCAGTAGTGAAGATGGTTTGAAAATAAAACTAACTTTAAAATCTCACAGAGATGGCTTAGGGCAGGAAAGGTAGATATTCCAAACACTGTGTTATAGTTGGTGAACAAATAAAAAAGTGAAAATTATATGAAATGTGACATTTGATGTCATTTAAGTATTCCACACTTATCTTAAGTGCTTTTGACAACCACTGGTTGGTGGCCAGCAAATGAATACAAACAACAGATGAAAACAGAGTTGCACATAGCACAATAGAAGGAAAGCATGAAATGAGTAAGAAAATGTGCCTCACACAATTTAAGTAAACGTTAGAAATAATGACGCCAATATTCATCATATGTTTGCACATTACTCATACTCTTCATATAAACTTTTTCTGAGAATGTTTTCATTTACTGTAGCAAAACACATTGCACATGCTTTCAAGAAGCTGGTCTGCATATAGACTATAAATCAGTTTTAATGAAGCAAAAAACTACATATTCCATTAGCTTCTACTTTGTTGATCAACAAAAATTCATTTTCAGTGAATATTTTCCCACACACTAAAATATAACTTGCTATGGTCTGACAAACAACAAACACTAAAATATCACATTTTTTTTCTTTAAAGGCTCCATTTTCTCTGAACAACAGGATTATGTGACTATTTTACCTGGTCTTTAATATACTATACATAGATTCCACTGCCATCATGAAATACAAAGATGAGGTAGCTAAAGCCACATATCGCTGCCTAATCTCCTCAAAGATCCAACGAACCCTAAAACTTAAAAACTTCAAACTCCATCCTTACTAACTATATGTACTTTTTAATTAGATTTAAGTTAGTGGCTAGGACGTTATTTCAATCTATGGTTTAGATTTGTTTTTATAAACCCTCTAAAACCATTCGTACATTAAGTCATCAGGGAATTCTTTTATATATATATATTTTTACTGCTTTGAACAGAGATTGTGGTCTACATTTCATTCAAAGGTAAAAAGCTGAACATTCATGTTTTATAGAGATATAATTCATTCATTCCCTCCCACATCCCACCTCACTTTGTGGGAGGAAATTATAAAGCTACTGATGGAACCATTAATATCCCCACACATTTGCTTTGTATTAATAAGCATGCCCTTCTACAAAACAGACAGTCAAATTCTGAACTATTCGACCTACAAAAAGCAAACTAAAGATATAAAAAGACACTGTGTATGGTGAAAGATCACCTGTGCTGGGCACAGCACACCTAATCTGCTTCACTAGTGTCTAGACATCACTGGGGCCATTATTGTGTAGGGTCAGATCTCTGCCGCACCCAGGTTTTCAGGGACCCAGCCCTGAAGAACAACAGCCATGGGTGCTGCACCCGACTTGAGGCATATGCATGCAAATAGGAGAACCCCTGAGGGTTTCTGTGCCAGCACAAAGGTGATATCCGTTTGCAACCTAAAAAAAGTTCAGATTAAAATCCATGTATGACCCTTAACATTGCATTAACCTGTATTTCAGTGTTTTGTCGTGCCTGTTCTATTGCTTAGTCTGCAGTGCTGAGACAATTTAGGGGGCATACAGGCTCTCTCCAGTTCCATATTTTCTCTTTGAAAAAAACAAAAAAAAAAACAAAAACTTTTTTTTGTTTTTAGCCAATTTACTCTCTTAAAAAGTTACCAAACCAAGTGTCTAGTAGACTTTGATCTTCTGGTTATACATAAAACTATGAGAGTAGTTCCATGGATAACCAATCTCTCCTTCACTTCCCCAGTAGTGAAGCTAGTTTTAAAAAAATGAAACGATATTTCAGTATCTACACTTATTATTTCTATGCTTTACCTCTCTAAGATTGGTGGTGGTTTACCAACACGGACATCTTCCACTAGCAGGCAGCTAACTGACAACTTAATTCACACAAGCCACCTACCATCCATCAGGTGGTAATAACATAGTCATTACCACCCATGACTGGATTTGAACCAACAACATAGATATTTTAAGATTTTTGTTTCTTTTATCTAATCTGATCCTGTTAACGACATTCTCCCTTGAACAAAAAGGAAAAAGGAAAAGCTATTTTTCAACCTGAAGCGTAAAAGAAAGATTGCACTTACAAATGGGTGAACTCTTTTTGACACTATCATCCCAAATGACAACAAGAATTAGCAAGGGGAAAAAATGGTTAAGACTATGTCTGAAATTCCCACAGATAGCAATTTTAAAAACATTAGAAATCTATATCACATTAGTGGAACGTAAGATTAATTTCAGAAGCTGACTTTGAAAAATGTTTTACATTATAAACCTCCCAATATCACCTCTGAAAATTCTTTACACTATACTGTACTTACGGTTGAAATGGTATAAAGTGTTGTTTGTCTTCGTCATCAACTTTCCCATTTATTATGTCAGTTACATCCATTACTGTAATAAAAAACAAAAGATACTTCATTAAATGATCAACAAATAAGAGACAAGGGAAAATATAATGTATGAAAGCACCTTCATCTTGTTAAAAACTGATGATCAGAAGTTTTTCTTTTCAAGTATAAACTGAGAATTTACCATGGTGAAAGAAATGGACACATCTGAAACTAGAATTACATGTGCACATATATTTTTGCCACATGTAGTCCTGTGGCACTATGAAAATGATTCCCTAGAGCTATTACTTCAAAAGGTTTTGCTCATAGGGTCAACTAGAAGTTTAACTGCTGCTTCCACCTACATAGATTTAAAAATATACCCATTTCTCATCACACTTTCACTACATAGATTTAAAAATATACCCATTTCTCAACTCACTTTCCCCTCTTCATTGCAGCCATTATATTATGCAATTTCTAACATCTTCTACATAACTCCGAGTATTCATAAGTCAACTAAATAACTTATTTCTGACTGAGTTGAAAACTAAATAATGTGATCCTCTGCAGTTTCAAAAAATTAAAAAATAAAGTATAATCTAGTTTAAACTGTGAACCATCATCACACTTTTCCAAAGAGATTTCAAATAACTGCTTATGTATGTTCAGTGTAATACATATAGGGAAAACACACATGAAAGACGTGGCAGACATTTTCTTAACAAAAAGTTGATGAGAGTACTGAACAAAGGTGCAATATTAAAAGCAGCTCTTATTTACCGTGAATTCTGACAGCATAAAAGCTAAAGAAAATAGATTACCTGCTACACCAAAAGGTCGCCGTAGCCCAGAGGTTAGTTTTCTTGTGTTGTTGTCCCTCAATTCCATTCTGCCTACTCTGACAATCTGACATACAAAACTGATTTTCTCTCTTTTCAGGTCCTTACTGCCAAGGTCCTAGAAATATTAATTTCCATATATTATTTTACAAGAATACCATTCACTTCAAGTTTCACTTTAGTAGACAGTAGAAAGATTGGACTGTGAACAAACTATCTTTTCAGATTCTAGTTTTTAGCATTTGAATAACTGACTCTCATGACTAGAGAATTTTGATAAGAAAACTTGAATAATGAATTTGCACAGAATTCAAGATTCTTCATTAGAAATCCAAATAATTTTGGAGGGCACATCTACATGTGCTATTAATGTGCTGGAAGCTTACCGCACAGTAAAATACTTCACAGTAAACTTTCCCCACAAGAGTATCTACACTTGTACCCACTGGAAGCAAATTTGCTCAGGAAAGGAGCAATTCAGTGGAGGGCTATTCCCGCACTACTCTGTCCCCTTACAGCAGCCAGGGGGAAAGAGGGGCACCAGGGTCAGGGGAAGCTGTCCTAGCTGTGGAGCAGCTGCCTCCCACCCCCTTACCCAGCAGCTGTTTCCCAGGCCCACGCTCTGATCAGCAGATCAGGGAATGGGACTGGGAAACTGTCCCCTCCCCCAGCAGCTGTTTCCCAGCCCCAGACCTGATCAGCTGGGAAACACATGCCCACGGGAGGGGTCAGTTCCCCTGCCCCCTAGTGCCTGGGCTGACTGGGAGCAATTTGCTCCAGCTCAGCTGTCTACACATGTGCTACTGCATAGTAGTTACTGTGTGGTTTATCTACTAGCTGTATGTACTATACTAATTTAAACTATTAAACTAATTTACTGTGCAGTAAAGGCTGCACAAGGGTAGACTCCGATGCTTCACCATTTAGTCTACTGCACAGTAAAGCATCTCATACAGATGTGTCTAGAGAGTTTAAAATCTTTTTTTTACAATTTTGGGAGAGGAATTGCTTGGCTTTTGCTCATGTAAACTACAGCTACTAGAAATCACATCAAAATCAAAAATGACTTACAAGTTTCCTCAAACCCCAAATTCTGGTCTGTAGAGTTAGTCCACATAAAACCCATGCAAATCTTTCAAAAACATGAAACAAAGAGCTTTAAATGCAGCCAAAAAAACAAATACATACTTACAGTGAATACTGCTCGAAGATTATGCAATCTGTCTATGTCTTTGGGTAACCCAGAACTTGACCATCGCACCAGATAGTTTTCACTGTAACAAGATTGCTTGTTTCTTAAAACTCCTTTTTAAATAAAGTAATTTGCAGATTTTACATAATTAGACTAAACAAACAGCCTAATTTTCAAGTCCTACAGTAAGGTTGTACTCACGATGCAACTGTACTGCACCAGCATATTCCTATTCCATAACTTGTTCCTGGGGTTTATACACTGTCACATGTCAATTTACTGACTTACATAGGCTTTTAATGTGTTTTATTTTATTTTTACACCTGTTATCATAGAAGTGGCAGCTCTTGGCCACCAAATTGGATGCCTTTTCATGCATCAACAAGAGAAATAAATTCTGACTGTAGGAACTTTATTGTGAGCAAGTCAAAATATCATACCTCAGCTTGACTTTAAGATCAAAGTGACTCTATGCAGCTAAGTTTGTCGAAGGTGGACGGGGCAGAAGCTATAATATGGAAACCCATAATAGCATTTTTGCTGCAACACAGATACATCAGCATTCAATTGTCTTTCACGTTCTCTACAAAGGTCATTTTCTAACTCGTATAACCACATAGGTATACTAAAAATGGAGTTTTATAGATTTAAAAAATGATTATACTGTTATGGCCTTTTAAAAAAGACACCATTGGTGTGTTTAACATGCTGCCCTGATCAAAGTAACATTTACTGAGTAGCTGCTGCTGTTGTATTTGTGAGCATCACATGTAAAAAAGAAAGCAATTCTTAAACCGTCTAGCATGATGCAATTCCTGTAAGAAAGCAAGGGATCTAGAACTCTAACTCTACTGGTGAGCGAGAATCAGAGCTTTTCTAGAGTTTTCATATTCCACTTACGCTCTGCACAAGTGGAACTAAAGACACAATATGATAAGGAACAGTATGAATTTGAAATGCACTGAAGCTAGAGACTAATTTGTTGCTGTGCTGAATAAAGCAGCTGAAGTGTAGTTAAATTAATGCTTCCCAGCTAACCTGATCCTACAGTTCAGAAAATGAACTTTCCAAAAGCCCTCACACACCAAGATATAACTCCTTGCTTCCAAAAACCAGACAGGCACAAAACCAGCAAGGTATAAAAAATGCAACAGACAAATACTAACCTGATAAACTTTGACTCCAGTGGATCATAAAGAGACATAAGAACTTCAGCATCTTCTCCTATTTTACAGACTACATTTTTTAAATTTACAAATAAAGCGAATGAAGGAGTGGCAGCAAACTTGGCTTGTCTGTTAATATCAATGTTCTGTTTTTGAGACTGCAATTTCAAACAGATGAAATAATCAAACTTAACAGCATTAATTAGTAAAGAAAGAGCTTAAATCATTGATCTACTATGGAGCATTTATCTCTTAGCCAGAGAAAAGTAAGAGTAGCCACCAAAGCTAAAGCAGGGCTGTCCAACTGGTGGCCCATGAGGGGTACATATGAAGCCCCCAGGCTCCCACCCAGCTACTGCTCTCCCACTGCTCTGGCTACAACTGGAGCCAGAGTCTCCAGACACCCCTTCCCTCCTCTGGCTCCACCCCAGGTGGCAGAGCAGTGCAGGGAGCTGAGGGTAAGTCCAGGCGACACAGGTTCAGGAAGCAGAAGATGAGGCAATAAAGCTGTGTGCAGAAGATGAGGCATACTAGTTTACACTATTCCCACTTTTAGTTTAAATTGCAGGGAGAGAACGTAAATTTAAATTTCAAAAACTGGAAAAGCAATTGTTAAGCTAAAAAATTGCTAAGGAAAAATTGCTTCTCCCACATCTGATGACTAAGTACAGGATCCTAAAGAAAATACCAACTCATCTGAATTACAAGGCAGAGGGTCAGATCAGTTAGGGCATCTGGCTATGGGCCTTCCACTAGACCAGGGGTGCTCACCTCCAGCTGACCCAGAGAGTCTTGGGATCCAGCCCATGGGGTTTCCCACAGCTTGGGAAATTTGGTGGCAGGGGAGCCGTGATAGTACTACCAGCCCTCCTGGAGGACAAATTCCAAGCTCTGCAGTGTGGGACAGAGTTGAGGCAAGACTCTCCTCCCACATGTCCTGATCAGAGCCAAGCCAGGTCCCCTTCTCCCTGGGTTGTGGCCAGGCTGTACCTCCTTCCTACTCTGAAGGACTAGGCTGCACCCCCTCTCCTAGCTGCAGGGCTGAGCCATGCCCCTCTCACCCGTGCTGGGCTGGGCAACGCCCCCTTCCTCCTTGCTTGTGAAGCCAGGTTGGGGCTCAAAACTGAAAACTCTTCATAAACAAAAGATTTTGTAAAATCCCTACTTCATCAATCAATAATTTGATGGTTATGAGTATGAATTCATGAGATGTTTAATTTTTAAAAAGAACAGTTATAACCAGCTTATCTTACCTTTTCTTCTAATAGTCTTTCCTCAACTTGTTTAGAAGCTATTTCATGGGCTCGGAAAAGGCTGATTGTACTGGTTTGTTCTGGATCTAAAATGTTGCCATCTTCATCCCTCACAACCAGATCCAAATCAAGAATTCTGTATTAAAATGTATATATGCCTGTAAGTTAATCATCATCATGTGTAAATGCCCACACTTAAACACTTTATTTGTGTGTGGAGGTTTCTGTTCTGACTCATTCAATAGTCTGGGCAAACAAAATCTCTGGAACGCAACACATGACTTGGTAAGTAAATAGAGGTTTAGTTTTTCCCCCCTTATCTTTTTATGCATACATATCTGTGTTGTTTCAGAAAACCACAAAGCATTACGAAACATGGCAAGACCTTTCTGTTTCCTTAACTCACAGAGTTACAGGGCACAGACAGAAGTGCATCTCCCTTCTGTAACTGAGAACACTTTGCAGGAAGTGTTCTGAGTTACAAGGATCCCCGGGACCAAACAGAAGTTCATTGTTGGTTCCAGGGGGAGAGGAATCTAGCTGCTGGCTGTAAGCCTGCAGCTGGTTTTTCTTAGCGATGGCCCATCCTCCCTCCCAGCCTGTCCCTGCTTCAGAATGGGAGGGGAAGAGAAGGAACTCCTTCTAGCAGTTCTGCAGCCAGTGCTGAGGGTGAGGTGGGTGAATTGGGGCCCCTCACCTCAAAGGGGCTCCAGTGCACCCACGCCCCACCCTCCAGCGAGGACTGAAAAAAATCCCAAACTGAACTCCATCCACTCTCTTTCCCGCCTCCCATTCTGAAAACAGCTTGAGGCTACGTAGGTAGCGCAGACACAAGTTACATAAGATGCTGTTTTGAAACATCTTGATTTGACCCCTTATGCAATGAGGGTCCAGACTTTCTCCCAACTGGCCATTTTTAAAGCAGTCTGCAGCTGCAAACTTGTATTTGGTCACAGCTATAGTCTGCTTTCTGTGGGCAGATTAAGTGAAAATAGTCACTTCAGTCTGTGCCCCCAATGACGAAGGTTAGTTTCTTAAAGAAGAAAAACTCTTTCCTTAAACCAAGCTTCACTTCTAAGAGGACCATTCCTTTATCATTGTGCCAGCCACAGAACATGCCCCAAGACCATGGGATAAAAGAACTTAAGTTCACATTGCTCTAATTTCTCGACTTCATTAAAGGCCCTAAGGAAGGAAAGACATCATCACCTTCCAAGCTTCATCAGGAAATTTTTGCCCTGCTCTGTTGTGAATTTTTGTTTTGGTAGCCTCCATCACCCCTCAACTATTCAACTGTGTGATTACTGACTAATGACTTAGAGTCATCAGCACTGAATCTACTGCATTTTCACCTTCCCACCCAAATGGCTGCTCTCTGAAGAGCCAAATACATCTGCCTCATCTAGAGAAAACACAGGAACCATCCTATAGAGGTAGTGCGACTAGGCAGAAAAACACAAAACGATCACAGTTCTCCGATATGTTTACACATGCTAAGCAGAGTGGTTGAGCAGAGAGGGAAATTTATTGGAGCAGATTGTTAAATGAATAGAAGCAGAAAGTATTTGACTTTTATCTTTATATTTTTCATTAACTTCCCCAATGGCATTTCGAAAAATATATCTAAGTCAATTCCCCAATGCTCCAGTTTGTTTATAAGTTTACTGTACAAATGAAAACAAAAACTTGTTAGCTTCACAAAACTAACTGACCCAGTCTCAAAATTTCATATCTACCCATTTAAAAACAAAAGTCCATACTTTGAGAAGCTTCTTAGTTATCTAAATAAAATTAAAATTAACATGCTGCCTTTATGTATATGAACATTCTGTTTGCATAGCCACTCTTCAGAAAACAGAAAAAGCAGTTTTATTAAGTCTAGTGGGTATCTGCAGGATGCATAAAAGAAAATAGTAATTTTTGTGCCACTTTAGACAAAATTCAGTATATGGCTACACTAAAAAGGCACTGCACCCTTTTTGTTCTGAATATTTACTCAAAAGTTCAAATTCAGTTCTCTCCCATACTCTTCAGGGAATGCTCTGATCACTTAATTAGTCTATCAGAACATTATGAATAAAAAGCATAGTACAAGATGCGCTATTGTATTTGAACACTGAGCATCTGACGGTTATTCAGAATAACTTTAACCAACTCCTTAGCCAGATGGTAAAATACAGTAGCCAAACAAATAATATCAACAACATCTGGCTAATTGTCTACTGGGTACAACAGTCCATATCTTGGATTATAAATACCAAATTACTTACTGAATGGAATTAGTGATTTTTTTTAAATCGCTGTTTTTGCTGATAAAGTATGTGAGCACAAGAACTGCAGAATCTGCAGTATTTAAATAACAAAGCAAAGATAGCTGAATTCTCATGAGATAATCATATCACAGGGGCATTTAAAGGCAGTTTTGCTGAACAGTCTTCATTTCCCAAAAGTGCAATAAACATAGATTACCCATCCCTTCCAATATTCAAAATGCAATTTTGCACTTCTTAACTTGTTTAAGATGATGGTAAGATTGCTCATTTTCAATTAAAAAATGAAAGCCTAATTGGGTAGCAGAGCATCCTTTTTACTGTACAATTATTTAGATCTGCAGTTAAAAATTTAAGTTTTCAAATGCATGGTTCTTGTCACCCAAACAGTTAAGAGGTTTACCTTTATCAAAGTCATTTCAATTGAGTTACTTCTGATGCATGCTCCACTACACATTTGTCATTATTTAGGTACCATTTCTGGGATCGATTCATATCTCCTGGATATCTATGACATTTATTTGGCTACTAATACTACCTAAGTAAAAAGAACAATGAAGTAACCTGCATTTCCCAGCCAAATACTGTAACACTTGTCAGTACTGACAAGTGCAAGGTACTGCACCTAGGGAGGAAGAACCAGCAGCCTACATGCTGGGGAACTCCCTTCTAGTCAGTGCAGAGACAGAAAAGGATCTTGTAGTCATTATTGATTCCAAAATGAACATGGGCCGACAGTGTGGGGACGCGGTCAGGAAGGCTAACCACACCTTGTCATGCATCCGCAGATGCATCACGAGCAGGTCCAAGGAGGTGATCCTCCCCCTCTATGCGACACTGCTCAGGCCGCAGTTGGAGTACTGCATCCAGTTCTGGGCACTGCACTTCAGGAGGGGATGTGGACAGCACTGAGAGGGTCCAGAGGAGGGCCACCTGCATGACCGGGGGGCAGCAAGGAAGGCCCTATGAGCGGAGGCTACAGGACCTGAACCTGTTCAGCCTTCACAAGAGAAGGCTGAGAGGGGATCTGGTGGCCATCTACAAACTGGCCAAGGGGGACCAGGAGGCTATGGGAGAGTCCCTGCTTCCCCAAGCACTAGTGGCAGTGATGAGGAATAATGGGCATAAATTGACTGAGAGTAGATTCAGGCTAGATATCAGGAGGCACTACTTCAGTCAGGGCAGCTAGGATCTGGAACCAACTTCCAAAGCAAGTGGTACTCACTCCTACCCTGGGGGTCTTCAAAAGGAGGCTAGATAATCACCTAGCCAGGATCATTTGACCCCAGCATTCTTTCCTGCCCATGGTAGGGGGTCGGACTTGATAATCTGCTCAGGTTCCTTCCGACCCTACGAACTATGAAACACAGCATAAACAACAACAGAGCGCAAACATCAGGTGGTGCTAGAAAGGCAAGAGCCATTTATGTTGTGTTGGCAAAGAAAGCTTAAATGACATCTTGAATGAATAGAATGTTTGCACTTCTCAACTGACCTAAAAAATCATAGCTTTAATCTGACACCAAACTGACGATATAACCAAGTTTATGAGTGACAGCTTAATAGACAAATTCCAGTCTACATGTTATAATTTGTACTATATTTAAAATGTTTTTATATACCATTTTGACTTGCTGTAAAAGACTTACTTAAAACTACTAGTACTACTTAAAGATTTACTTTCTTCATACATACCTGCTCTATACCAGGTTATATCTTCTCCCCCCACCCTCCTTCCCCCTCCACTCCCAAAAATACAAACTTTTAGTTATCACAAACCTGTTTCCATAATCAATTTTGGCAGTCACTTTCTTTTTCAGTTCCTTAAGCTCATCTTGGGGTAGAGTTCCAGAGAGTATTTGAGATCTCCATTCAATAAGATCATATATCATATGTCGCACACTGCGAAACATTTCTCTATTATCTTGCTGTTGGAAAGACAATAGTTAAATAAACATTACTTAAAAACCTAAATAAGTGAGACTCTTTTAGTTATACATGCATGACAAATTAAACACATGGGCCAAGAGCTTCAAAGTGGTGTCTAAAAGTTTGGTTTTAATGCTAAGCACTTGGTTGTTCCTTCCCTGGAAACTGTCACATTCTCACACATTTTGAAAAACACTTATTTAGGTATCTAAATGCAACTTTAAGAGTGTAACTTTAGGATCCTTTAACTATGAACCATGATTAATTCAAAAGCGATTTAATGTATCAGGATGTTACGTATCCTGATATTTCGTTGTATCAGGATACTTAATGATTCACTATCAGTATCAAGACATCTTTTGGTTTATATAGAGGTGGAGGGTGCGAGGGTCAGTCTTTTTTTTCTCCTCAAATAATCCAAGCACAACCTTATTAAAACAGGAGAAAAAGACACAAATGTGGATTTTAACAGTGTGAATTTGGACTACTACATTATTATTGGTAATATTGTATTACTTCTTCAGTGCGTAAATAGTGTTTTTAGTAGCACATAGTCCAAGAGTAGAAAGAGAAAAACCATAGGAAAGCACTGAAAGTGAATTCAACCAATCTACAATGAAAAAATACCTTGCTTTTCAGTATACTATACAGTATAGTTTACCAGAGCTGCAACAACACTTATTCTGTTCTCAACAGAGGAGTAATTTCTGGACATACAAAGGGAGAGAATACCACTTCCAGCCCTTCAGGACGAGAAGACATAAGATCTTAAAATCCTTGAACTCATGTTTCCAAAACTGTTGTGAGATACGTTAATTGATCTGCCATCATCCCACTTAAAAGGAATCAGAATTTAATTATTTCTCATCCATAAGACAGCTTCATGATGTTCCACAATACCATGCTTGGTCATTGATTCAATAACCAAAAGGGAAGACAGCCACTTTCTGAATCACAACTTGACTCCCTGAGCCTAGGTAATCCACTCATGCCCCCTCTTCCTCTCTCACAAAGACAAGAAGGGCTAATTACATGATCAAGGTTCCAGAATCTTGAAGGACACTGAAAAATTGGACAAGGTGCAGAAAGGAGCAAAATAACTTAAGGGCTGTAAAAAAGTCTTTATTGTAAGACGTACAGAGCTCAATATGTTTATCTTCTTACAAAGACTGAGAAGTGACTAGATTACAGTACCTTTTGAGAGAGAAAATACTTGATATGAAAGGGTACTTTCACCTAGCAGAATATAGTATGACAAGAACCAGTGGCTGGAAGTTAAAAGCCCAGCAACCTCAAATAGGAAGGTAACAAAAAAAATTATCACAATGAACATTACAAACTAGCAAGGAAAGCAATGGGTTCTTCGTCTCAGTATCTTTCTGATGGATACACATTAGTCAAACAAAAGTTATTAGGCCCAATACAAGAATAACTGGTTGAAATAGAGTGACTTGTGATGAGATCAGAAAAGATGGATCTAATCCCTTTAGCTTTAAAAACTACAAATCTATAGTCTGCCTTCTCATTTCTGAAAGGCCCGCTGTTGTGGTTCTATGTTTAGGAGTTATCTGTATTTTACTTCTAGGGTTATTAACTTTAAAATATAAATGTTAGATTAGGGATTGGCAAAATACAGCCTATGGGTCAGATCTGGCCCCCCAACTGATTGGATCTGGTCCACAGGCGGGCATCCACCAATCGACTGTATCCAGTCCACTGTATCTACCAATCGACTGTATCCAGCCCATACTATGCTCCCACCCGCACCGACCAGTTAGCACCATCCCAGCCCCAGCCAGCACATAGAGCTTCCCAGTGGAGCTGCTGCCATAGCTGCCTGGATACTGCTTGGCTCCCCCCCGCATCCAGTGGCTCCTCCTCCTGCCCCTGCTGCACCTCTCCAGGCAGCAGGTAAGTTTACAGTTTGTAAGCAGCCCAAGAGCAAAGGTTGATGCTGCCTGAGAGCCTCTACCTCTACTACAGCCTTGTCCCCACTGCCACCAAGCCACAACCAAGACAGGGTTTCCTAGAAGCTGATCACGTCAGGGTTCCTCGACAGCTCCCCACTGACTGGGCTGTCAGAGAACCAGCTGCTCTTCTTCCCTCCTTCCTTTCCCTTTGAAAAAGAGGAGGAGGATCACTGTGGGATAGTGGGGGTCTCTCTGTCCAAACATTAAACTGGTCCCTGAAAGACAAAGAAGTTGCTGTTTGAAACAGCAGCTTCTTTGTCAAGGATCTGCCATTTTTATGGCACATCAACCATTTTCTTAGCATGACAAACAGCATGAATGTGTGAACAGTTGTTTTTGTTGTGCCAAAAACAACCGATGTGGCCGGACAAATGTAACCTCTGCCTAAACCTTTAGAGGAAAAAGAGTGAATATATGCAAACGAATTCCCCATGCCTTACATTCTGTTTGTTCTTAAATTTTGGCATATCTAGTTTTTACATTTCTAATGCAAGAAGACGACTTTTCCTACTTCCCAAACTGAAATCCATAATATTTTATATGATTTAAAAATAATATGATGTACTTACAACATATAGCTGCCGCCATATTATGGACCACTCTCGTAATGTTGTGGTAACTTCCTGAATCAGCGGGAGCTCATTGGGTATAACAGTTTCATGCTGTCTAAATTTTGCAAAAACATTTTGATAGAATAGCAAAATCATTAATATGGATAGAACTTGTAGAAGTAATTTGTACGTTTCAAATCTAATTCAATATTGCCACAATAAAGAAAGAACATGTGCCACCATATTACAAAATATAAAGGATGCATCACATACATATATAAAAAAGAGGCACTGCATGTATCACTGTGGCCTAACAGAGCACCTGGGTGTAACCTGAAAGACCAGAGTTCTATGCCAAATTCTGCCACTAACTTGGTGTGACCTTGGGCAAGGCCCTTGGCCTCAGTCTGTCCACCTGTAAAATAGGAATAGCTAAACTGACTTTCTTTGTATAGAGCTATGGTATCTCTCAATGAAAAATGCTACATGAAAGCTGAATATTATTACTGTGGCTTTCTTTGTATATTTTATTATAGTACCCTCAACTTTCATATAATGAAATATAAACATGTAATGTTGGTGGCAACTTACAACATAATATTCACAAGAGTATTTTACTTCATATTTTTGAGAATGTTAGTTGTCCTTTCAACAACACTAATAGTAAAGTAGGCATAATATTATTTGGGGCTTTTTTTATATCTTAGATTTATCAATCAGGATGAAAAACAGGTATTTAGCATGTACAGTGCCATGACATTAATGTATTTTGCTGAAAGTATATGCTTAAAAAAACAAAACCTGGCTTGCAGCTCTTGAGAGTATTTACCCATCTAAATGACTTCCTTTAAAATTATGCATCATCCAAATATAAAACAACAGATAGACCTTTTAATGTGTCAAAAGTAGAGTACTTGGAGGTAGTTTTGTAATCAGCAAGAAAGATGCCATTATGCAGTAATCATATGATTAGCAGTGTTATCATTTACATACTTAACAGAGTATAAAAATAAATCAGTAAAAAAGGAGGAAATTTTAATCTTTTTCACCTAATTTCATACCCGGCTGATCGTTTGTCAATTCCACTCAACATTTTTTTGTTTCACTAATATATTTTTAATGCCATCTCTGACACCAGTTTTGTGACCTTTCATATCCATGGCCACTATGTAGGAAATAACTTCAGATATCAACACAGCAATTTAACAACCACTGTATTAACGGAAAAGGCCAAAGTGTCTGCACTCAAGCAAGTTTAGGACAGTGAAAGGAACACCACAAAACCTGATGTTGTGGCTCATTAATAGAGATAACAACTTTGGTAGAACTGCTTCTCAGCAAAGCACAGATGATTGATTTGTGGTCTGAAAGACCCTTTACAATGAGGAGCTCAGTCTACTCAATTTATTGAAGAGAAGGTTAAGACGTGACTTGAGTATCACCCATAAGCGTCTGCAAAAGGAGAATGTATCTGATAGTAGCAAACATTTCAGACAAGCCTGCAAATAAGTTCCAATGGCCGGAAACTGAAATCAGAAAAACTGAAATGAGACTTCTGGTTTGTTTTTGTTTTTGAAATACTTATGGTAATTATTTTCCATTTGAATACTTTATCAAGGAATTAAATAAGTTTAAATCAAGCTAAGAGTTTTACTGTACCTACCTATTCAGGTCAATATAGTAATCAGTACAGATGAAACTGCTATTACCTGCATTATGCAAGTAGTTAGACTAGCCTCTCACTTTCAGATGTATGAACTGATCCCCCAAAAAAGTATTCAGACCATCAGTTCATCAGTCAACTGAAAATGAAATATTACTCCCCCAATGAATGTAATAAAGTTACAACTACATAAACATAAAAGAACTGGAGTCTTTTAAGCCAAGTCTCCACTCACCCTTTTCCTTCAACTATGGCTTCTTTAAGGTGAATGTAAGTTGTAGGAAATATGCCCTTTGGAGAGAGAAAAGTTAATTTTATTCCGAGTAACTAGATGCACGTTCCTGGTTAGCTATAGTCACACATTCATATTACCAGTTTACACATACTCTCATAAACAGCATTACAGAAACAAACTCTCATAACAATGCAACTAATATTCTTTTCAAAATTTCACAATAGAACAGGAATAGCTCCTCAGACAAAAATGCATGATCTGTGTGGGTTCCACTTGTCCATCTAGTCACATTCCTACTGCATCAGTTTTCCTAGCTCAGTTCCACAAAGAGTATGCGTGCATATAGACACTATTAAAGCCTTTTTCTTTTAGGTCTGGTAGATTATTAAAACAGTTCAATACAAACCTTCTGCACTGATTATTCCACTTCTTCCCAAATCCAGAGATTCTGTTGCTGCCTTTCTTAAAACCTCTCCTTCCCAAGATTTCTATTCCTGCTATAAGATGCTGCATCTACCCCAAAGTTATACTTCTCCTGACCCAGGATCTTCCCACTATCTGTCTACCAGAACAGACTCCTAGTTATAGGAAACACTATCTCTAGGCCTCACATAACCCAAATAAAGGCAGCTGAGTCAGGTAACAAGGGCACATACTTGCACTCTGGGCCCCTCTAGACATGGAAGGAAGCATGCTTGTGGGACTGTAAATTAGATCCCACCATGCCTCATTGGTGGTGTAAGGGAAGCCTCCTCACTGATGGGGCCTCCCAACCACGGGGGCACCCAGGGCTCCTCTAACTGGGAGATGACATCAACTGAAGTCTTTTGTGTGGGACATGGGGTGCCCAGATCACATTATCTGTGGTTTCCCACATGTATGAGTGCATGGGGAACCCCTGCAGCTGGGAGACTGAATCAGCTGTCATCTCCCAGCTGCAGGGATGCATGAAGTGCCTATGCTTGGGAGCGCCATCAGCTGACAGGGCTTCCAGCTGTGGGGGGCACAGCTTACAGATGCAAATTAAGGCTGGATAGAAATTAGCTATAAAAATTACATATTTTCCAGCTCTAGCTTTATAGCTGGTTGGACCTTTTTAAGGGGTGATAGTTAATTTGCACATGTGGCTGGAATTAACTGCTCAATTAACCAGGTAATTGTGTAATACATGCAACATGTAGAGAGGGCCCCTGAGACCAATTCTATACAGACTTTAGCAAAGTTGTAGAACAAATTTCCTACCACTCACTTGACTCTACCCCATCATCAAAATAAACTCTAAGTTAAAATAAAGAATTAGAAAACAAACTCCCAGAGTTTTTAATTCAGAACTATGGTGAAAGTATTGTACCTTAACATCCAAAATCCCTAGAAACTGAAACTAAACACAGAAGAATTTTTCCTGTGTTTGACTTTTCTGAATCAACTCAAAGATGCTTAGACTGAGTCTCAAAAGGTAGATAACCTTTTAGGGAACAGTTAAACCTAACTCTATATGTAATAGAATGCTGGGAAGTTTTGCTGTCTTTGATGCAATATAGATCTCTGTCTTAGATTTCTATATATTAATACAAACAATGATTACTTTGTACAGATGGACAATTGTGTAACCTGCGTTCAAATGATAAACTTTCCTTTTAATCTCCCAATCCTATGAATGCCAAAGACACTAGGGTTAAAAGAGGGAAGGGTGGAAAGGAGTGAATAGTCACAACTGAAGGGCAAACATAAAAGCAGGGAAGAATACTAAGTGTCACAAGAACTAACAAGAGATATTTCTGAGAAAAGAGAGCCTCAGAAAGGCAAAGATGGAACGGGCAGAGAACTGCAAAGTTCAGCTGGACAATCTAAAAAACAAAACTGGGGAGAAGGGAATGAGATCAACATATTCTGATGAAAAAGAGGTTCTCCACCTACTACTTTGCTATAAATCCTGAGAAAGTGAAGAGGTGGGGGGAGCAAAGACAGAGAGACAGAATAAGAACACATCATCTATTAAAGTCAATACTGAGAAGCTTTTCTTATTAGGGGCTATATCAACAATGTTGCCAATTCTCATGATTTCTGGCATTGTTCTTAACGTCTACATTTTGGGAATGTCTACATGCCTACGCTTTGGGAAACACTACATTCCCGAAGCATAGACTTTAAGAACAGCACCAAAAATCATGAGAGTTGGCAATGCTGCATCAATGTAATATCAAAACACACTACTTCATTTAACACAGTGAGTTTCTCCTACACTCATCTACTCAAAAGGTTCTACCAGAATTCCCTTTTAAAAGATAAAACAACTCTCTCAAATTAGCAGGCTCTTTCAAAACAGAAGAAATTATATTAGCTTGAGAAGCAGTCCTGGACATCTAGCTGCAGGCAAAAAAATGTAGCAGCACCTGGAATTAATTTAAGTCAACATGAGTGCCTAATTAGTACTTAGGCTGAGTAAGGCATGTTCTTGAAATGTACTTCCTAAAGAATTTCATGCATCACCAAAAGAGAAAATATCAAAATAAAATGAAAAACCAAAGAGTGGACTGGTTAGGAAGTGGGAGGGTCGTACTACAGAACTCCATGGCTAAAGTACAGAAGGTCAAAAAGCTGAAGGCTGAATCAATTCAATCTTTGCAGGTTAGTCTAAGCTGTGTTGGTTCATCCAAAAAGCAAGTGAACAGATGTTCACTTTTGATAGATTCAAGGAGGTGATACTTCCCCTCTATTGAGCGCTGGTCAGACCGCAGTTGGAGTACTGCATGCAATTCTGGGCGCCGCACTTCAAGAGGGATGCGGATAACCTGGAGAGGGTCCAGAGAAGGGCCACTCGTATGGTTAAGGGCCTGCAGGCCAAGCCCTACGAGGAGAGACTAGAGAACCTGGACCTTTTTAGCCTCCGCAAGAGAAGGCTGAGAGGTGACCTTGTGGTTGCCTATAAGTTCATCACGGGGGCACAGAAGGGAATTGGTAAGGTTTTATTCACCAAGGCGCCCCTGGGGGTTACAAGAAATAATGGCCACAAGCTAGCAGAGAGCAGATTTAGATTGGACATTAGGAAGAACTTCTTCATAGTTAGAGTGGCCAGGGTCTGGAACGGGCTCCCCAGGGAGGTGGTGCTCTCCCCTACCCTGGGGGTCTTCAAGAGGAGGTTAGATAGGTATCTAGCTGGGGTCATCTAGACCCAGCACTTTTTCCTGCCTATGCAGGGGGTCGGACTCGATGATCTATTGAGGTCCCTTCCGACCCTAACATCTATGAATCTATGATTCCAGAAATGCAACTGCACTGGCTCAGGCAGGAAGCCAGGGGGCACAAGTGCAGGCCTCCCTGCTTGGCTGAAGCAGGCAACTTGGACCAAGGCTAGCCCACCCACCCTGCCAGGGGTTTGCAGGGGAGGTGCAAAGCATCCTGGGATGCTGGGGGACTGTGAATTAACTTGAATCTATAAGGGATCTGGGACAGAATTTCAATACACCAATTTAAGCTAAATCAGTTCAGTCTGCTACTACATCCATCTACGTATATCTTAAACCAGTTTCAGCCATTTTGAAAGTGGCTTATGTGCACTGAACTTCTGTTGTGTTACATTTGAACTGGTGTCTAATCACTTATACTAGTTTGTGTGTAATTTCTGTCCCTAGCCAATGTGTAATTACCTTTCATTTTTAGGCATGAAGAAAGCCACTGATCAGGAAGAGAACTCAGAGTTCATTTCTGTATTCAAACATGTTAATTTTTAAGCATTTTTCTTTTAAAGCAAAAAATCAGGACTATAAATCTTTAATTCTGGCTAATTGCTACTATAAAATAAACCCCTAAAACTTAAAGTGCAACATTATAAGCAATATTTCAGCTGTTTCCTTTTTATTTTGGAAAGACTGCTGTAAACAACAGCCCTTTATGCACACTTAAAACCTAACAAGACAAAATTACATTGCACAAAGCAAGATTACTCCATCTTTCACACAGAATGGATGAAAATCACAATGTAAGTCTGCTTATAACTTTCCAAGATGCAATTGCATTTTATGAGCAATGCATTATTTAACAGAACATGAAGCCAACACTGTCAGCATTTAATAGATTAACTAGAATTTAAGTTTTATAAAAGTTCTTAGTTGACTATTTAACAAAGTAAATTCCACTATAGAATTTAGTCTACTATGCAATTATAACACAGCTTTACATTACAAAAGAAAATGAATTTAAAAAGTATGAAACAGAACACTTACCTTTTTTGATTTTTTTCTTAATGTATAACCTCTGTACCAACCTAGAAAAAGTTAATAAAAAGTTTAAAAATAAATTGTAAAAGCTTTTTCTTTGAAATGGGATAACACCTTAACGTTTCTTATAGTGTAGGAAAATGTCTGTGCTTGGATAGTTAAATTTCAGTTTTCATTAAATTGTATATTTTAAATATACAAAATGTTCTTTAAACACTATAAAAAGAAGAAGCAAGATATAAAACTGAAGTGGGACAGTATATGACATAGTTAGCATTCTGCATTATTTGTAAAATGAACATCCTCACTTAAATTAGTTTAATTTAAATTGGTAATTTACTAACATAAGCTAAACCAATCTGAGTGAACATACTTTAGAGTTGTACACTGGTTTCACTATTTTGCTTTAAAGAAACAAGATCTCCAAGATGAGCTGCTGTTATCACATTAGAGAACAAAAATACCACTCTGAAAATCAGGATGTCATGTGTACACCAAAACACCACCCAGGAAGAGACCCAAATGAAGTGGATAGTTTGCAAAATAAATAAATAAGTACAGGCTGATGAAGTGTCAGAAGAACTTCAAGCAAACAGTAGGAAAAATCTAAGTCCATTCGTGGATAATTCATGAACTGAAAAAGGGCTACATGTGTCTCTTAAATTATTCACACAGTGCCCCTGAATGCCCGCATTGGTTTAGTACAGTATCAGAAGGAACAGTCCTACCTACTGTTAGTTAAGACATAGTGTCAGTAAGACAGGAACTGCAGTGTAGCACATGAACAATATCTTCTTAGGGCTCCAACAGCAATAGAGTACAAAATCTGTGATGACATACTCTCGGATGACCGGATGGATATTCAAATAGGGAGGTTTTGGACGATTTTTACTTTACCTTTCAACTGACAAATTTATAGCGGTTCTCTGGGGCTCTCAATGCTAGGAGGCCAAAAGCCCTAATTCAGTGCATGCCAGCAAACAAACCAGCATTCCAGCTTTCCCTCCTGGCAATTCTATTATGATACAATTATTTCTATCCAGCACGGCATTCCTCAGCCTCAAAGGCAGGTGGCCATGCCAGGAAAATAGGGAGGTAATCTCTCATTTATTGTGCCCCCAGTTCACTACACATCTGCAAGCAATCAGCATTACGGCTTTTATTGTTTAAACCATTCTGTTTTTACTGTGACTGTATAATTAAAAAAAAAAAAAAAAAAACACACTATAGTAATTTTCTCTCAGAAAAAGGTATCATGCCAAGCAAATCAGCAGGGTTCTCGTGCACACTGCCCCCAATTCAGTACAAATTCATTTGCAGCCTTGTATTACGACTACTCGATATTTCAGCTTGTGTTTATATTTCTTGCTTGCTGCCTTAGAGAGCTCACAGGCAAAAGGGTGCTGTGCTCCACAATTTTCTGAAGGAAGACGGTAAGATTTTATCTCGGCTTGGTACAAAACCTACATCGCTGATTGTTCCATAAAGTCAGAGGGCTCTCATGCAAGCAAGTTGCTGAGCAAGCATTAGGCATAGCCGTCTCAACTTCCTTGCAGTTCAGTATACATAGGAAAGGAAAAATTAGCCAAAAGCAAATGGAAGACACGTGTCATGACCACTCATAACACCATTTCCTACCAACTACCCATGTACTTGACTATACATATCCAGAAGGTAGAAAAACAAGAGAAACAATGCTCTCTCTACATTCCAATTGGGATTTAGTGATGCCTCAGAATTCAAAGATATTAACAAGATAAAGCGCAAATGAAAATGTAACTCCCAAGAAACAGCAAACTAGCAGGAAACTCAATCCCTCGGCTTCTCCAGGCATTTTCAGGAGAGAAATTTTCACTTTTTATCATCACAGCATTGCCCCTCACCGCTCTTTCAAAATAGTCTGTGCCCAATATTGCTAGATACCAGATGGGAAGGGTACAAAACATATTTCTTAGCCTGAAAAATGGATGGGCTCAGCATAAAGATAAGGAAGAAGGAGGGACAGTAACAAGATATATTAAAGAAGGTTGGGGAGGGAGGGGCGGGGGGAGAAGGGAAAAGTGGTTGGGGGACAGTCTCCCCTAGGCAGCAGGCTTAGACCAGAGTCTAGATATAAATACTCAAGTTTGATGTGTGCACATCATAATGATTGGTACATTGCCAAGCAAAACAGGAATCAAATCCAGAACTATGACTCCAAGGCCATTTAATTAATAAATTAAACAAACTATCATTTATACTCCATTTATGCTCCAAGGAAGGAGCCCCCCAGGGGGCACTTGCCTGCCTGTACACTAATGCCAGGAGCTTGGGGAATAAGCAGGAGGAGCTCATCCTCCTGCTCAGTGCAAACAATTACGATGTCATAAGGATAACGGAGACCTGGTGGAACTCCACCCATGACTGGACCACGGGGATAGATGGCTATACCCTGTACAGGAGGGATCGTGTAGAGAAAAGGGGCGGGGGGTAGCTTTCTATGTTAAGGAAAACTACACATCCCTGCAAGCCGATATTGGCGACCAGGGTGGATGGCTGGAGACCCTCTGGGTTAAAATCC